ACGAAAAGAAGTGAGAGTAAATAAAAGAAAAGGAAATCATTAATTAAAAAAAAAAATTTTCATCCATATATATATATTTAATTTTTATACTAATTTTTAAATCATTTATTAATTATATGTATATGTATACTAAATTTTGAATAAATTGAAAAGAAGTAAGAGTAAATAAAAGAAAAGGAAATCATTAATTAAAACAAAAAAATACTTTCATTCATATAATATACATATATATTTAATTTTTATACGATTTTCAAATCATATATTAATTATATGTGTATGTATACTAAATTTTTATATTAAATTAAGAAAATTATAAAAAAAATGAACTGAATTTACCGGAATAAATAATTTCGCGGATGTTTTATCATAAAGCATTTCAGTGCATTGTTTATGCTCATTTGGTACAACATGGCGCAATTGTACTCCACTACGAATTTCCTATAAAATTAATAAAATATTTTATAATAATATTTTAATTTATTTTAAGTTCATTTTTTTTAGTGCTAGTGTTTTTTTTTGCTTAATTTTTTTCAAAATATTCACATAGTTTTTTTTTTCATTTTTATTTTAATAAATGAAAGAAATTTTTTGCATAAATTTTTTGTTCGAAATCTTATTACGTCAAATTACACCATTAGTATGTAAAAAAAAAAAAAAATAGGCTAAATAATGTTAGCATAAATAGTATTTATTCCTCAAAAGTATTAATATGCTTTTTTTTTCCTTTTTTTTTCTGGAAGAGAATAATTCTACAAATTATGCAGCAAAATTATTAATGGATACTATAATTATTAGACTGTAATCATATAACTAATTGCAACACTTATCATTATTTATTCTTAATTTAATTATTCTTAATTTAATTCTTATTTATTCTTAATTTAATTGAATATAACAAGAAGCATATGGAATATATTAAACAATAAGTTAATAACTTTTTTTTTTCCAACACTTTAAAATGTCACATACCAAAATTTGTCCCTTATCATTATCATTATTTAAAAGTTGACACATTTTTACTTACAGCTAATAATTTATTATTTTGGTACTGATCAATGGAATGAATAGATGACGATGATGACAATGTTTCATTTATTTGATCATTTTGTGGTATATTGGATGGAAGTAATTCATCTATATGTTGTCTTTCCTCAATTTTTTTTAACAATGCTTGTATTCGTATTCCTGATAATGCTGTTTTATGAGCCTGAAATGTTTTGCATTCTAGATAATCTGGAATATCGTAATCATATTATCTGATAAAATATTGAATACTATCAAAATATGATAGTATTTTTGAAGCTATAAATATGATATGATCAATGATATGATTATTATTGCTAAAGTTTTTTTTTTCCTTTTATTTCATTTTCTTTTTTTTTTCTTCTCTCTCTCTCTCTCTTTTGACGATAATTTTTCAATGATCTCTTTTCAAATTTTCAAAAACTTGGCAATGTAAATTCCTAAAAAACAAAAAAAAAAAAATCGATGATAACTGCAAAAAATTGGTGATAATTACAAGACTTTAGTGATAATTAATAATGAAATTTCCAATTATAATTGTGATAGTAATATTATCTTTTCATTTTTCTATCTAATTTTGAAAATTTTTACAACTTTTGATATTTTTTAAATATATTTTTGATAAATGAATGCAAAATTTACCAAACCTTTTGCATATTTCATATGACAAAGACGTAAACCGTCTTTTATTGTAATAATTAAATAAAATAATTATTAAATCGTTTTTGATTTATTTAAATATCAATCATTTTCAATTATTTTTAATTTATGCAATTATTTAGTTATAATTATTCAATTTGTTTTTAAACAAAAATTCAAATTTACTGATATGTTTGAAAATAGATATGATAATAATAAGTTAATGCTAATATATATTTGAAAAAATTTTAAGATTTTTTTTTCACCAGATAATTAATCAATGTGTTATCATTTTATGATATCAGTTTTGAACCCTTAATAAAATTATCGTTTGTGAATAAAAATTTTTAAAATTTGAATTTAATTCATTGAAGAATGATAAGAGAAGAGTGGAAGAAGAAATTACCAAACTTATATGAGGATTTGTCACTTAATTTTTAGGTTATTATTTCAGATTTTTAAACTTAATTTATCGAAAAAAATTAAATTAAATTAAATTCGTCAAAAATTTAATACAAATTTAATACATATCCAATTCAGAAACGTTAATAAATGATTCTAACTGAGGAATTGAATTTCATTTGATAATCAATAATTATTTTTATGGGATATCAACAAGAAATTGTCTTATCTGTTGCACATCAATGAAATGTTAATTTAAAAGATGACCTAAAATTGTATTGCCTTTCTTTCTTTTATTATCCTAACAATGTAATCACTTAATTATGTCATTGAACTAAAATAGGTCATTGAACAATTCTTTTTTCGTGACCTCTTTTTTACATTTAAAATTTTTAATTTTAAAATAAAACATTTCAATTACTAATTTTGTGTTTCATCAAAGAACTTTGAAAATGAACCATTCGAATGTTTTATTTATCAATGAATCGTCAACAAAATTATCACTGAATATCAAATTAACCTATGCTTCAGCCTTAATTTCATTCATATGCATCCTTTCTATGATTATTGTATTACCAATTCTTTGCCTGAAATTAGATTATGCATCCAATCGACTTACGGAACGGATGAATAATTTTGCTGTATGTTTTTACCTATTAAGTAAATTATTAATTAACGTTAGCATTAAGCAAAAAAAAAAAAATCAATTCTATTCCGATTTCAATTTAATTTTATAATTATATTGGAATCTTATTTGTCATCTAGGATAAACTTATTGGTATTTAATTAGCGCTACATTAATTCCAATTAATTATTTAAATTAAACATTCTAGTTCGAGTTAATTAAATATTTGCGAAAACTTTTTCCGCTCGAGTGTTATTTCATTATGAATAAGAAATAATTGTGATGAAAAGCAAGCAAATTAACTTCTTTTTTTTCGCTTTTTTCTAGCTTAATGCAAAGATACGAGACGACTTTTTGTTGAAATAGACATATCGAATGATAAGAACAATTGTTATCATTGATATTATCAGTATCTAAAACAAAACATTATGCAAATATTATTTTAAAATGGTGTAAAAATTTTTTTTCTTTTTTCTTCTTCGACAATATTTGAATAAATTTCATTCAATAAATATTGCTGCTTAAACTTTCTCACCATTATTTTTAATATACTTCGAATTTATTTATTACTAAATCTTAATATGATCATATATTTTAACCATATGATTGTATTCCTGTGAATATCGGTATTTCAGTATTTCAATTCTTTTTTTTCATGTTTAATTTTTGAATTTTTTCAAAATTTTAAAAAATCATTTGTTATTTTAATCAATCTTAAGTTTTAATAATGATAAAAGCAATTTATTTAGTTAACTTCAAAAAATTTATGGAACGATATCATTTTGATAAGAAGTAATGGACGAATTAAACGTCAAGGTTTGTTTAATGTTATTTACAATACATTTATTAAGCATCTAAAATTATTAAGCAATTTAAATTTGAATAGAAACTTTGATCACTATGACAAACTTATTACTGCCAGTGATTTCAGATATGATCCATGTATAATTCATATAAATCTTTCAGTTGTTGTAAAATAGAAAAAATTAGGGGGGGGAAAAAAACTGAAATGTGGAATTTAACTATTCTAACTAAATGATAATACTAGTATTAATAAAACTGAATATGAGATGAATCATTTTTCAGGTTATGGTGAAGCATTATTGATGAATGCAGGAGAAACGGAAGGACAATGCGGTAGTTGTGTAGAATTAAGATGTCCACCGGGTGCACCAGGTCCACCAGGAATGGATGGGGAAAATGGTACAAACGGTGAACCTGGAAGACCAGGAAAACCTGGATTAGATGGATTGGATATTCCACTAGAACCGGAACCTAGTTTGCCTTGGTATTTTTCATATCCATTTTCTTAATTTTATTCACAATGTTGTAAAAAAAAAAAGATGCATGTAAAAATAAAAGGAATTTCCAGTGTGATTTGTCCAGCAGGACCACCAGGAAATAGAGGACGACAAGGAGAACCAGGAAGACCTGGAATACCTGGTGAACCCGGGCATCATGGCATACCTGGAAGACCAGGTAAAGCAGGTAAAGTGGGCGATCCTGGATTACCTGGACCTCCAGGTGAAGAAGGTGAACCTGGTATTAAGGTACATTTAATTTTGTGCAAAAAAAATGTTTCAGTCATAAAAACAAATTTAACTGATAATTGAAAGAACAAAATTAAATTTCAATTTCTACCATACATAGGCATAAAAGATTACAATTAAATTACAATCAGTTCAATGACAACAATGAATAAAAATACAAATAATAGAAAGTCAGGAAAAAATTTTTTTGTTACAGTGATGGAAAGAAATAAATTCATTACCAATAAGGTTATACGGTATGATTCCCTGAACATTTACAGGGTCCACCTGGTGATGATGCAATCGGTGGAACAGGAATTAAAGGTCCACCAGGACCACAGGGACCACGTGGCCCTAAAGGTCCATCAGGACCAAATGGAATACCATCTAGCAGCTTCGGACCACCAGGACCACCAGGTGAAATGGTATGTTTTGGCTTATTTTATTATCTTCATAATTATCATAATTATATTATGAATTGCAAAATATTTAAATCAAACTATCCTTTAGCGTCGAAGAAGACGCCTACTCTATGCTTAATTTTAAGATTAACGATTGATTTAAATGAAGAGAAAGTTATTCAAAGAGAATTTTGTACTTTTTTTTTTGTATATTTTTCTATCATTCAATAATTCCTATACTTATTTTTAAGGGACCAAATGGTCCACCTGGTAAACGAGGTGAACCAGGACCAAATGGACCAATTGGATCACCTGGTGAGCGTGGTGAACCTGGTGGCCATTGTAAATCATCATGTGGAATTCAAGAAGTTGTAGCACCATCAATTGTTGAATTGAATGTTTACAATCCAAAAGGAGCTGCAAAGAATAATTGGAAAACAGCTGAAACAAATTATAAACATAAGCAATAAATTCAATGCCCACATAATGGTCAATCCTATCGTTTTTGTATCCTTAAATATTCAAATATTATATATATATATATATATATATATATATATATACATTAGCCATTGTTATATTAGCCATATGTTAGCCATTGTTTTACCAGTATCAATTAATTATATATGATATTTTTGATAGCTTAAAATAATTTAAAATTTGTTGTATACGAAAAATATTTGCAAACTTTTTTTTATAAATTAAAATTTCCTTTCAAAAGCTTTTTATAAAATTCATAAATTAAAATACAAATGGGTGAAATAAACTAAAGGGAATAATTATAATTTAACATTTCATATAAATAAATTTGCACTAAAAAGATTTGTTTACCCCAAATATTTCATCAGTTTGTAACATTAAATAATACTAATTCTCTGACGGTAAAAGTATCAAATTATAGCGGAAAAAAGTATTAGAGCATAAATGAAAAGGTATTATCATATTATCGTTAAAAAAAAAAAAGATATCAATTAATGGCTGAGAAAGTATGAAATCGTATCGGTGAAAGTATTAGATCAGTTAAGTATCAGATTATAGCAGAGGAGTTATCAGAGTAAAGTATCAACATATCATCGTGAAAAAAAAAAAAAAAAGATATCAATTAATGGCTGAGAAAATATGAAATCATATCAAGAACAAGAAAGTACTAGATAAATTAATATGATATTGATATGATTATTGGAATTACATGAGTAATGAAATAACGAAATTTATTGGATAAATTCGTTTTGTTTCAATTTTCATCTTCCGAATGTTCTGATTCCACATCTTTACCATCATCATCATCATTATCATCATCATCATCGTCATCACTTGAAATGTCATTTGGTTCTTTTGTTACTGGTGCAAAAAATTGCGCACCAAATCGTCCAAGCTTAAAAATGAGTTTCTACTATAATACATATTTATTTCAATATTTTAAATTATCTTTTAACTTATTTATTAGTTGTTCACTGCTTTACACACATCACACACACACCCACACGCACATACTCATACAGACACATGCACAAACATACACACACACGCGCTCATACACACCCACACAGACGCCCACACATGCGCACCCACACATATACCCACACACACACACACCCATATGCACCCACATACACACGTATATATGTATATATATACACGCATACCTATTTACTACGAAATGAAAAATAATTAGTTACGGAATAAACGATTTTAACGAGAACACCCACACACTACACACACATACACACGCACCTATACACACACACATATATATACTACCTATTTACTACGAAATGAAAAGTAATTAGTTACGGAATGAACGATTTTAGCGAGATATCTTTATAATATGACATCATATGATATGATATGATATGATATGGTATGATATGTTGTGATATGATATATGATATGGTATGATATGTTGTGATATGATATGATATGATATGGTATGATATGATATGATATGATATGGTATGATATGTCGTGATACGATGTCAAGCAAATTGGCAAAAGAATTATGGTATGTAAATGAAAAAATTCAAATAATAAATAAATTTTGTAATACATACCCTAAATTTAGCACCAATTTCTTTCCCATCTTCTATTTTAACTTTGTCCATCTTCTTTGAAATCACTTCTATTGCATTCTTCATTTTTTTTGATTTTTCAATTTCACCTATTTAATGAAAAGTATATTTGCCAATAAATAAATGAATTCAATTAATAAATGAAATTTAAAATATCATACATTTGGAGATAATTATAACTATTAATTAATAATTAATTAAACAAATTAATTGAACGATTGGTACATAAATAACGATTAAATAAAGTTAATAATCAAAATTTTACTTTATTAAAAAGCTAATTTTAATTTCTTCCTTCTCATTTCTCATTTTTTTTCATTCTTTTCAAATTTTGTCTAAGTTAAAAAAAAAAAATTTTCATTTTTTTTTTTCTTTTATCCTAGTCCATATTATCTGGGTCAAAATAACTGATATGTAAATTACGATCATTTGATCCTAAACCAAGGTATTAGGAAAAGAAACAATAATTATGTCTGTTTTATCCTTTGGTTCAATCTTTTAGTTAAAAAAATTTCATTACTACAGGAAAGATCAAATATGACTAATATGTATTGTTAATATATTTTGTCGAATAATGGACAATTGAAAAGAAATCGGTCAGTTTCCGGTTGTTAAAAATCATCACCGCGAAGAAATTAATCATTTTCCGGTTATTAAATCATTACTACGAAGAAATCGATCAATTTCCGGTTATTAAATCATCACCGCGAAGAAATCAATCATTTCCGGTTATTAAATCATTACTACGAAGAAATCGATCAATTTCCGGTTATTAAATCATTACTACGAAGAAATCGATCAATTTCCGGTTATTAAATCATTACTACGAAGAAATCGATCAATTTCCGGTTATCAATAAGAATAATAATTCTTATGAATAAAAGAGATTAACGATGACGAAACCCTTATATACTATAAAATTTTTCGCTAAATTAATTCGATTAAATTTTTCATTAACCTTCTGATTTTGTCGCTTCTGTCTTTCCTGTCATTTCTTGCTCAGATTTCTCTTCCTTTCCTCTTTTTTCTCTAATTTTCCTCTTCCTTTCCTCTTTTTCTTCTCTAATTTTCCTCTTCCTTTTCCTCTTCTTTTCCTTTCCTTTTTCCTTTTCGTTTTTCTTCGCTTTTTTCTCTTCTTTTTTCTTCGATTTTTCCTTCACTTTTTTTCCTTTCTTTTTTCCGTTGATATTTTCTGTTCTTTTTTCTTTTAATTTTC